GATTACAGGCATGAGCCACTGCACCTGGCCCATCTCTTTCATTTATTCTGTAGCCCTAGTGTCTTGGACAGGACCTGGCACCTAGCAGGGGCTTGTTTTGAAAGAAAGAAAGAATGGATAAGTGAATGAATGAATGCTCACAAATACAACTGGCCAGGAAGAGAAGCATTTCAAAGGACTTTTTCTTTTTTTGAGACTGAGTCTCACTCTGTCGCCCAGGCTGAAGTGCAGTGACGCGACCTCGGCTGGTTACAACCTCCGCCTCCTGGGTTCAAGTGATTCCTGTGCCTCAGCCTCCTGAGTAGCTGGGATTATAGGCACATGCTACCATGCCTGGCTAATTTTTGTGTTTTTAGTAGAGACAGGGTTTTGCCATGTTGCCCAGGCTGGTCTTGAACTCCTAGGCTCAAGTGAGCCACCCATCTTGGCCTTCCAAAGTGCTGGGATTACAGGTGTGAGCCACTGGGTCTGGCAAAAGGGTTTGTTCTTTTTTTTTTTCTCTTGAGACAGGGTCCTGCTCTGTTGCCTAGGCTGGGGTGCAGTGGTGCCATCATGGCTCACTGCAGCCTCGACCTCCCTGGGATCAGGCCATCCTCCTGCTTCACCCTCCCAAGTAGCTGGGGCCACAGGCATGTGCCACCATGCCCTGCTAATTTTTAAATTATTTGTAGAGACAGGGTCTCCCTACATTGCCCAGGCTGATCTTGAACTCCTGGGCTAAAGCAATTCACCCACCTCAGCTTCCCAAAGTGCTAGGATTATAGGTGTGAACCACCACACCTGGCCTTAAATGCTTTTGACAACCCAGGGACTTGTGACCTTCAAGGCAATGATATGAGTCTACTGGTCACAACAGTATGTTTTCGAGACTGCTGTGTCATTGTAAGCAGAAAACAAGGAAGACGCCAAATTCAAGAAATGAGTGTATGCCTTGTACTGCTGAAAAAAGAAGACAGCAGAGTCCCCACCCAATTTAAAGTAAAGGGCATACACGGGTGGTTTCCAGGGGTTTTATGGCAGGACTGGGGCAGGGAGCTTTGGGAAATGAAATGATGATCAAGGTTGCTGTGCCACGGAATTCAGGTAAGGTTTAAATCATGAGACCCAGTCCCAGTCTCCTGGTGCCTCAGCCTGTTTCCAGCAGTTTCTAGAGGTTCAGTGAAATTGTCAAAATCATATGAAGTGTAATTTGTGTTGATGAGAAAGCCCCCAGCCATTTAGGGGGTGAGGGAGCCGCGGGAAAGGACACAAAAACTCAACTCCAGACCCCCACCCAGGTCCAGGGCGATCCCATTCTTCTCCCCATTCTCCACAAAAACTGAACTCCAGACCTCCACCCAGCGCCAGGGGTGATCCCATTCTTCTCCCAACTTTCCTAAATGAGGAGTGTTCAAACACTTTTGTAGAAGAAACCCTTGCCCTAAATCTGATGCTAAACCCCAGTAGGTGAAAAACAAACAAGAAAGATACTTCTGGTAGAAATGTCACAGATCCGGCCAGGCGCAGCGGCTCACACCTTTAATTCCAGCGCTTTGGGAGGCTGGGGCGGGCAGATCACTTGAGGTCAGGAGTTTGAGACCAGTCTGGCCAACATGGTGTCACCCTGTCTCTACTAAAAATACAAAACTTAGCTGGGTGTGGTGGTGCATGCCTGTAGTCCTAGCTACTTGGGAGGCTGAGGCACCAGAATCGCTTGAACCTAGGAAGTTGAGGATGCAGTGAGCTGAGACTGTGTCACTGCACTCCAGCCTGGACTACAGAGCAAGACTCCATCAAAAAAAAAAAAAAAAAAAAAGCAACTTTCCAGAGCTAGCAGCCATCATTATACTAGGGGGTGCCCCAGACAGAAGCCGGCACTCAAAGCAGGGGTTTCCTCCCACACTGGACAGGGCCTCAGGGTTCCCCTGGAGGACTCGTTAAAATGCAAACTGCTGCATCCTAACTCCTAAGTTTCCCATCCAGCAGGTCTGGGGTAGCCTGGGAATCTGCATTTTTTAACACGTTCCCAGATGGTGCTGATGTTGCTGTTTTGGGGACTCTACCATGGGAAAGCCAGACATCCCTGCCCAGTAGGACCTAGAAGAGCGGGCTCTTCCTGCCCCTCACCCAGGGATGGAGCCAGCTTACTCATCGGTGTCTTTTTTGCTCTCTTCAATGAAGGCAATGGACTCAGATCTAAGGCGGTTGGTCACTTCATACGTTCGCAGGGTGACTCCGAAAATATCCTCGTGGTACCGGTTGTCATCCTAGAAGACAGAAACAGCCAGAAAACAGCTCTCAAATGCCAGATAAAGGCTTGGAGCAGGGACGGACTCGCCTGACACCTGGAACGGAATATCCCTCAGGAAGATGGTTCCCAAAGAGATGAGGCTGAAGCCAGTGCCCCCGAGGTACCTTTGATCTCGAAGACTCTGCTCAGCAAAACTGTTCTCTGGGATGTGCGGCAACTGTTCTCTGGGATGTAGCCCAGTTGGCAAAGAACATTTAGGTTGCCATCTGGAAACACTGCAGCTGGTTGGTGGATTCTCAGGGGAAAAGGAGTGATGAGGTCAAATGGAAACCTCACCATTCCCCGCTTTCCTCCCTCCAACGTGTTCCTGCAAGTTCAGGTCTGGGCAAGGCTGGGTTTAGTGTGAAATAGCCCATGAGACCAGAAGAAAGGGGGGGAAGGAACAAGTGGCCGCTTAGCACTCAGGGAACTCCCCATAGCTGCCCACAGTGGAGACTGCTTGGGCATGCATGAGTTTCTCTGAAGATGAGTATCTTTGCTCAGCATTGCCCAGAGAGAAGCAGGCAAAGAGAAGAACCTACCCTGGAGTCCCAGGAAACAGCCCAAGTGATGACTGACTTGTGACATCTGCAAATTTACCAAGTTATGGAAGCTCCTGTGGCGGGCAGTCAATATTCTCAAAGGGCAAGGGGATTAAACAAGGGGAAAATGCACCTCAGTGCTGGGGAAGGGCAGTGGGTGGGAGCGTGCATCTGGCAAGCCAGGAAGAATCTGTTGTGCACTAGGTTCCAGCCTCCCTTGGTCCTGAAAGTTTTGAAGAAAGTTTTGAAGAACCTAGAGTGGGTTCATTTTCATTTTCAGTTGGGGTGGTTTTTTTTTTTTTTTTTGAGACAGAGTCTCGTCTGTTGCCTGGGCTGGAGTGCAGTGGCACGATCTTGGCTCACTGCAACCTCCACCTCCCGGGTTCAAGCGATTCTCCTGCCTCAGCCTCCTGAGCAGCTGGGACTACAGGCATGCGCCACTATGCCCAGATAATTTTTGTATTTTTAGTAGAGACGGGGTTTCACCATGTTGGTTGGCCAGGATAGTCTCGGTCTCTTGACCTCGTGATTCACCTGCCTTGGCCTCCCAAAGTGCTGAGGTTACAGGCGTGAGCCACTGCGCCTGGCCATTTTTTTTTTTTTTTGAGATGGAGTTTCACTCTTGTCACCCAGGCTGGAGTGCAATGGCGCGATCTTGGCTCACTGCAACTTCCACCTCCCGGGTTCAAGCGATTCTCCTTCCTCAGCCTCCCGAGCTGGGACTACAGGTACCCACCACCACGCCTGGCTAATTTTTGTATTTTTAGAACAGACAGGGTTTCACTGTGTTAGTCAGGCTGGTCTTGAACTCCTGACCTCAGGTGATCCTCCTGCCTTGGCCTCTCAAAGTGCTGGGATTATAGGCTTGAGCCACCGAGCCCAGCCGGGGTGAGTTTTTAACTCCCTTCTGCAAAATCCTGGGGAATCTATAAAAGTGTCTCTCGAGGGTCACACTAAAGAGACTAAGTATATAGAGGGCTCCACAGCTCTCCTCGGATCTGTTTGTGCAGTGCTCAACCTGTACAACTACACGGGGCAGTGCTGCAGCTTCTGCGGCAGGAAAAGTTAGGTTAGAATGGTTTCTGTCTAGTTACCAGAAGTCCATTCACTCGTTATTTTCACACATGGCCTCCAGTCATATTTACTACACCTGCCTGCATGCCCAGACATCCTTCTACTTTCTCTGTCATTGTTTGGGGCCACCTATATCCTCTACCCTCAGTGGTAAGTGCAGTGAATGGCAGCAGGGATATCATCGTGGCTCCCTAATCATCAAGACAGGTTGGATGAAAAAGAGGGGATAGGAGAGTGGATATAGGAAAAGGGACCTGGGAAGCCAGCCTGTCACGCACCCTCATCCGACTGATGAACACGCCGGCGTCCTCTGCCGAGAGCTTCCCCTGCTGGGTCATGATGCGTTGGATGGCTTTGAGGACATCAGCGGCCATGGTGACGTCCCCACAGACGTAAATGTGGCCCCCTTGCTCCTTCAGGGCTCGGTACACAGACTCCGCCAGCTGCTCCTGCAGGATGTCCTGCACGTACTTCTGCAAGGAGCAGAGGGCAGTGAGAAGGGGCTGGGCTGTATAACATGCCTGCCATAGCCCATGTCCTCCCGGGAAGCAGAGCCTGACTCAGGGGCTTGTGGGCAGGTAGGATCTTTTGTGAGCTGATTCCAAGGAACAAGAGTAAGGGACTGGGAAGAATGGGATAGGGAAGGCGGGAAAGTCAATTGGAGGGTGCAGGAATGCATTGCTACCCTCTTTGGACAACTGGAGCTCAGCTCTGCTAAGGACCCTCCAAGGAGCTGGATAGACTGCTTCCCAGAATCATCCGCTGCAGAGGGGAAAGACGGGGAACATTCACTACCCACTCCTCTCTCCTGGTGGCCAATGGTCCCTGGGTGTTAACACCTGCACACGTCCAGGTGTGCGGCTGGTTACTGCAGGCATCCTATGTTAGAGTGCCAGGGAAGCCCGGGGCCGATAGCAAGAGATGGGGGTGAGGTGAGGGACCGGCTGCTGTAGTAATAGCAGAAGGAAAAGGTGGGCTGAGAGGGTGTGAGGTGGGCACAAGGGGTGTCTAGTACAGCTCCAAGGAGCTCATTTGTTCAGGATGTCTTTAACTTGTCCCGCTCTGAAGCTGATATTCAGCTGGAACGTGCTGGCATGGCTGTAGTGACTCTTAAGACTGACACACTTCCACCCACACTGCTCGGACTCTCTGGGTGCCCCCCCAACCCACTGCAATGTCCTGACTCCTTCCCTGGGACCCTCAGACCTCCCCAAGAGCCAATGGAGCTTTAGTCCTGTGGTCCGTGTCCATTCTGACTAGTACTGCCTCTCGTGGACTGTTAAATTTCTATTTATTTATTTATTTATTTATTTATTTATTTATTTATTTATGAGACAGAGTCTCGCTCGTTGCCCAGGCTGGAGTGCAGTGGCATGATCTCGGCTCACTACAACCTCTGCCTCCCGGGTTCAAGCTTTCCTCCTGTCTCAGCCTCTTGAGAAGCTGGGACTACAGGCAAGCATCACCACACCCGGCTAATTTTGTGTTTTTTTGTTTTTTCTTTTTCTTTTTTTTTTTTGTAGAGATGGGGTTTTACCATGTTGGCCAGGCTGGTCTCAAACTCCTGGCCTGAAGTGATCCACCCACCTCAGCCTCCCAAAGTGCTGGGACTACAAGCATGCGCCACTGCACCCAGCTAATTTTTATATTTTTATTAGAGATGGGGTGTTACCATGTTGGTCAGGCTGGTCTCGGACTCCTGACCTCAAATGATCTGTCTGCTTTGGCCTCCCAAAGTGCTGGGATTAAAGGTGTGAACCACCGCACCCAGCCTAAATTTATTTTTTTAAATTTCTGTTTTTAAATATTTTAAATTTTTATTTCTAACTATTTATTGTTTAGAGACAGAGTCTTCGTCTGTTGCCAAGGGTGGGTTGCAGTGGCATGAACACGGCTCACTGAAGCCTTGACCTCCCAGGCTCAAGCTGCCCTCGTACCTCAGCCTCCCAAGGAGCTGGGACCACAGTCATACGCCACCATGCCCAGCTAACCTAATTTTTTTTTTTTTTTTTTGGTAGGGACGGGGTCTAAGCATCTTGCCCAGGCTGGTCTTGAACTCCCAGACTCAAGTGATCCTCCCACCTCAGCCTCCCAAAGTGCTGGGATTACAGGTGTGAGTCACGGTGCCTGGCCCAACATTTTTCATTACAGTAAAATACGCATCATGTAACATTTACCATTGTAACCACTTTAAAGTGTACGACTCAGTGGCATTAAGTACCCTTCTCAGTGTTATGGGATCATCACTATCTGGTTCCAGAACTTTCTTCGTTACCCCAGATGGAAACCCTATACCCATTTGCAGTTACTCCCCACTCTCCCCTCCCTCAGCCCCTGGCAACCACTAATCTACTCTGTCTCTATGGATTTGCCTATTCTGGATATTACATATAAGTTGAATCTTATAATATAGGCTGTTAAATACTTTATTGTATCACATATATATTTTTGAGATGGAGTCTTGCTTTGTTGCCCAGACTGGAGTGCAGTGCCACGATCTCAGCTCACTGCAACCTCTGCCTCCTGGGTTCAAGTGATTCTCCTGCCTCAGCCCGCCAAGTAGCTGGGACTACAGGTATGCACCACCATGCCTGGCTAATTTTTGCATTTTTAGTAGAGATAGGGTTTCACCATGTTGGCCAGGCTGGTCTTGAACTGCTGACCTCAAGTGATCCACCCGCTTTGGCCTCTCAAAGTGTTGGGATTACAGGCGTGAGCCACTGTGCTCGGCCTGTTAAATATTTTACGTAGATATTTTCCCTACCCATGCTTTCTGAAATAGAGAGCAACTTCACAGAGGGGAAATCAGGAAGCTTAAGAGTGAGGGTGAGGGGTTTCTGAGAGTGGGATGTACAAGTGTGTACACACATGAGTGTGCACCAGTGTGCACATGTGTTGGGCTGGGCTGGGGGATGCGCTGCTGGGGGTTACCTTTGGTTTGTCTGGCTCCCGGGAGTAAGCCGTGTACAGCTCTCTGAAGACCCCCTTGTTCTTGGCCTGCAGGGTCTCTTCCCTGTAGATATGATCTATCTTGGATTGCCGGCACCCGAAGACCAGGACCATGGGGCAGGGGTTCATTCCTGGGGACCGGGAAGACCTTATGTCACCGATGGCTCTCTGCCTGATATGTGGGGTGGCTGAGGTGCCAGGGATGGGGAACTGAGACCTTAGCGTGCGCCATGCGGATAGAGGCTCACGAACACTGGGGCAGGCAGATGTATGCGTGCACACACATGTACACAGGTGGGTGCTCACATGCTCACACATGCACACACTGAGGAAGGAGGTGACGTGTGTTCAACTTTAGTGGACCTCCCTCCCAGGTCTCAATCCTTCTTTCTGCTCCTTGACTACTCAGGAGTCCCCACCTGATGCCCAGACTCTGGAGCTAGATGGCCTGGATTGAAATCTCAGCTCTGTGATGAACAACTTAGTCAACTTTTTTTTGTTTTGTTTTTTTGTTTTTTTGAGATGGAGTCTTGCTCTGTCACCCAGGCTGGAGTGCAGTGGCGCCATCTCGGCTCACTGCAACCTCCGCCTTCTGGGTTCAACCGATTCTCCTGCCTCAGCCTCCCGGGTAGCTGGGATTACAGGCGCCTGCAACCATGCCAGGCTAAGTTTTGTATTTTTAGTAGAGACGGGGTTTCACTGTGTTGGCCAGGCTGGCCTCAAACTCCTGACCTCATGATCCGCCCACCTTGGCCTCCCAAAGTGTTGGGATTATAAATGTGAGCCACGGCGCCTGGCCTTTTTCTTTTTATTATTACTATTATTATTAAGATGGAGTCTCACTATGTCGCCCAGGCTGGAATGCAGTGGTATGATCTAGGCTCACTGAAACCTGCAGAGTGAAACCTGCAGAGTTTCACTCTTGTTGCCCAAGTTGGAGTGCAATGGCACTATCTTGGCTCACTGCAACCTCTGCCTCCCAGGTTCAAGTGATTCTCCCGTCTCAGCTTCCTGAGTAACTTGGATTACAGATGTGGGCCACCATGCCTGGCTAATTTTGTATTTTTAGTAGAGACAGGGTTTCACCATGTTGGCCAGTCTGGCCTCAAACTCGTGACCTCAAGTGATCCACCTGCCTTGGCCTTCCAAAGTGCTGGGATTACAGGTGTGAACCACCACATCCAGCCACAATGTACTCAACTTTCTAAGCCTCTGCTTCCCTATTTGCAAAATGGATATAACAGGACTGTTGTTGAGACATGAATGTGAAACATTACAACTCTGCCTGATACCTGGCAAGTACTTTATAAATGTTAGCTATCCACTACAATGACAGTTCCATGGGGGCAAGTTTTACTGACTGATTGATTGATTTGTTTTTGTAATCATCCCTCGAATCAACGGAAAGGTTTTCATTTCTATTGTAGTTGTTTTTCTGTCTTGTTCACTGCTATGCTCCAACACCTCCAAGAGTGTTTGGCACTTATTAGGTGCTCAATAAATCCTTGTTTAATGCATGCTACAATTTGGGTTTCTTTCTCTCTCCTGCCGAAGCTGATCTGCTGTGTCTTTCACACAGCACTTGCTCTTGAGTAACAGTCTTTGCAATAATTACAAAAGCATAGCCATTTGATAAGGACTAACGCCCAGCTTTTCCAGGCTATTGGATTATTTTTTTGAAGGGATCACATCTTAACAAATGTCCTCTGGGCCTGGAATTTCAGGCCCCTGGGACAGGCTGTTTGGATTACACCATGAACTTCACCTGTGGGTCAGGCTGGTGCTACACGCCCCGGCTTTTCTGAGGCAGTGACGCCATGGAGAGACACCTTCACTGTTCTCTAGGGCTGCTGAGACACAGCTGGACCTCCCCAGGTCTGGGGGTGGGAACCAGGCAGCCGCTGGACTGTAACCCACCTTTGTGTTGGATATCAAATTGCCGCTGTTGCCAGAAGCTTCGGAAAGGTGCAATGCCGGTGCCCGGTCCAACGAGGATGCAGGGGACTTGGGGGTTCCGGGGCAGGTGGAAGCTGGGTGCTCTGGGCAAGGAAGAGGGGGTCAGAAGTCTTGAAGAGGTCAAATCCAATCAAGAACAACTGAATCTTAGGTAGACCAGGTGGCCGTCTTCAGTAGACATACAATGAGACTTAAAGCTCTTCAGCCGGGGCCAGGTGCCCCTTTTCAGGGTGGGAGTCTCACCGATTAAGGGAATTCCAAAAATGGGGGGTCCTCAGGGTCTGACTATTCCTCCATTCCCCAATTCTTCTCACTGCTGGGCTCAGCAAATTCAACCCAGAGTATCTCTACACTGGCACCATTGAGACTTGGGGGTGGACCTCCTTGGTCGTGGCACTGTCCTGTGCATTGTAGGGTATTGAGCAACATCCCCGGTTTCCAGCCACGAGGTGCCAGGAGTACACGTGAGTTGTGACAACCCAAAATGTCTTCAGACTTTGTCAAATGTCCCTGGGTGGCAGGGATGGGGTGGGGCGCTGCAAAAATCACTCTGGTTTGAGAGCCACCATTTTTTTTTCTTTTTTCTTTTCTTTCTTTTTTTCTTCTTCTGAGGTGGAGTCTCACTCTGTCACCCAGGCTGGAGTGCAGTGGTGTGATCTTGGCTCACTGCAACCTCCAACTCCCGGGTTCAAGCAACTCTCCTGCCTCAGCCTCCCAAGTAGCTGGGATTACAGGCACCTGCCACCACCCTCGGCTACTTTTTTTTTTGTATTTTAGTAGAGATGGGGTTTCGCCATGTTGGCCAGGCTGGTCTCAAACTCCTGACCTCAAGTGATCTGCCTGCCTTGGCCTCCAAAAGCGCTGGGATTATGGGCGTGAGCCACTGCACCCAGCCCAGAGCCACCGGTTTAACCAACAATGAAATCTTTAAATCAAGGAGTCACAGACTTCAGTGTGTAAAAGAATCACCTGGGGATGTTCAAGATGCAGATTCCTGGGCCATGCAGTACATCTGGGCTCAGGACTCTGTTTGAAACACCACAGAGGACTCTGATGTCAATGATATTTGGATCGTTTTCAATGGCATGTGGACCATATTGTGAACATTCTAACCTCAGTGGTTGAGAAAAAGGATTGGCTAAAGCCACTGTTCAGGTAGAGAAGGTATTGATCGACAAAACAGGTTAACTATAACTGGTCTAAGATCAGCTATAGCCTTTAAAGCTGAGTTTGGGAGGAAAGGCGCCAATGAATGGGGGTGATTGGATTTTTTCCATCGCCAGGAAACTGGGACTGATTGGGAGTGACCAGCAGAATTTGGCTAGAATTTCCACTAGCCCATACAGTCCACGAAGGTGGAGACTGTATTTGCAGGGTTCTCCCCGATAGCTCCGGCATCTAGCCCAGTACACGCCCAAGTGAAATGTGTGTTGCATTGACTTGACATCGACCAGAGGACTTGCCTAGCTTGCTGTGCTGCTCTGATCTTGTTTCCTTAACAACTAAGAGAGATGCAGGACATTGGTCTCCATTGTGTGCCACCCAGTCACCTCTCTAGAACCTTTCAGACCGGTCCACCTACCTCAACTTGCAACATCAATATGCAGATTTGAGATGATTGCTTATTTTTCTCCACTTATTACTCACCCTCTCACGAAACAGGGGACCACTTCGTCAGCCTGTATCCGGTTGAGCCAGGAGGAGCACACGCCGTGGTGAATTGGTCCTTCTCCATCTAGCAGAATAACCAAGGCAGTCAGGACCACCCACTGCTCCGAAGCACGGCCTTCCCTCCTCCCTCCAATGCAAAATGCTCACAGGCCCAGCACCAAGTTTATCCTTTGGAATTCCTCCCCAGGATCCCTTCCTCTGAAGGGCAAGAGGAAACGGTACAGCTGGGGTGACTTCGTGCCTATGCAACCACCCAGGGTTCTATTGGGTAGGGGTGGTTCGGATTCAAATCCTTCCCTATAGAAGGGTGCTTTCGGTGGCTTGCTGGACTCCTGGGACGGGCACTGTGCATTTTAATTGCTTTATCTAGGAGGAAAAAGACAGCGCAGAGCTTGGGTTATCTGACTTGCAACCAGCTGGGCATGATACAGCAGAGCGCTCTCCCAGGGAATGAGTGGTGGTGGCTTGTTCTAGCTGGTGCTTTGGGGATATGAGGGGGCACCATTGCAAATACACGTCTTGCCTCTTTCCTAATTCTGCTCAGGCTTGGCTCTGCATCAGGGGACAGTTCACCTGCTGCTTCTTCCCCCAGTTTTCTGGTCTTGGGGGTGTGTCTCTTCCCAGGGATTTGGGATTTAGCCTGCAGGCAGTGGTTTAGGGAGCCCTCCAGAGGCCCCTTGGGGGAAAATGCAGCCGAGGAGGCTCTCCCAGTGCCTCCGCCCACCTCGAGTGCGGTAGGAAACGATGGCCACAGTGAGGTGCACTTCATCAGGGTACATGTCTGGGGAGGAGCTGATGGAATAGTAGCGGGGCTGCAGCAGGGACAGCTGGGTCAGGAGCAGGGTGGCCGGCATCTGGATGGATGGGAACTCCTCCAGCACCTCCACGATGGTGGGGTTCTTGCCCCATTTCCATTCCTCATACTCCTGCAAACCCTGTGCCAAGGAGACCGACAGAGACAAGCTTGAACCCAGCTGCTACATAGTTCCCATGAGGACCTGAGGGGGTCCAAGAAGAAGGCAAAGTGAAAGTAACAGTTGGCAGGTGTAGTGGCTCATGCTGGTAATCGCAGTGCTTTGGGAGGCCGAGGAGAGAGAATCACCTGAGACTAGGAGTTCAAGGCCAGCCTGGGAAACATAGTAAGACCCTGTCTCTACAAAATTTAAGAAAAATTAGCTGGATGTGGTGGTGGATGTCTGCAGTACCCCAGTTACTTGGGAGGCTGAGGTGGGAGGACTGCTTGAGTTCAGGTGCTTGAGGCTGCAGTGAGCTAGGATCACACCACTGCGCTCCAGCCTGGGTGACAGAGTGAGACCCTGTTGACAGAAAGAAAGAAAGAGAGAGAGAGAGAAAGGAAGAAAGCAAGGAAGGAAGGAAGGAAGGAGAAGGAAAGAAAAAGACAAAGAGAAGGAAAAGAAAAAGAAAGAGCAATAACAGTTAACACTTGAATAGCAATTATTCTGTGCTGTTTTGATTCTCATGAGGACCTTATGAAGTAGGTATTACTGTTTCCCCATTTTATATATGAGGAAACTGAGGGTGATAGAGGTCCTATGGCTACTAGGTGGTGATGCTGGGTGAAACTGAGCCTTGCTCTAGACAGTGTGTCTTCAGAATTTGTGTTCCTAGTCACTGCACACTCCTGAAGTCAAGAGAGACGCACTATAGAAGGGAGTCATGACTCACGCGGGGAGTGGCAGCATTCGGTGGAGACCTGTGATTTGTTGGTTGCAGAATCTGGAGATGCATCTTTGGAGAGCTTGGGTCATGTTCACGGCGGTGAGTGACAGCCCCGGAAAAATCAGGTTGGGGTGTGTGGAGGACCATGTTTGGGGACGTGTTGACAGCAAAGCCCAGCTGTAACCAGGCAACAGAGGAACTCTCTGGAGCTCTGGAGTTATTTTTCCTTAATCTCAGAAGATGCCCTAGGCAGTCTCTGATTGCTGGAACAGAAGGCTCAGTTTCTGAGACCAGCGTGCCAGTGCACTGTATAACAAAGATTTTCCCCAGTTTCTAAAGACTGTCCTGGCCTTATTTATTTATCTATTTTTTATTTTTTTTTGAGATGGAGTCTCACTCTGCTGCCCAGGCTGGAGTGCAGTGGCATGATCTTGGCTCACTGCAAGCTCCGCCTCCCAGGGTTCACGCCATTCTCCTGCCTCAGCCTCCCGAGTAGCTGGGACTACAGGCACCTGCCACCACATCCAGCTAATTTTTTGTATTTTTAGTAGAGACGGGGTTTCACTGTGTTAGCCAGGATGGTCTCAATCTCCTGACTTTGTGATCTGCCCACCTCGGCCTCCCAAAGTGCTGGGATTATAGGCGTGAGCCACAGCGCCCGGCCTGTTCTGGCCTTATTAATAGGCGATGGCATCCTTGACATCGTGCTTCTCAGACCTCCAGCCTGACTGGCCTGCAATTGCAGGAGCAAAATGGACAAAGAGCCCTGGCCTCTCAACTCTTTGAAACTGACATTACCTGAAACTGACATCCATCACCCTGTTGGTGCCAGGCCTGCCTTCCCACAGGCTGCTCCCTGCCAATGACCAAGCACAGGAGTCTCCAGGACTCCTCAAGAACCCTGCTGGGCCTTCCTTAAACTGCACTGCAGTCTAGAACGTTCTCATCCCACCTTTCTTCCTTTTCCTTTGGCTGGCGTTAGATTTGTTTTGAGGTCTGGTGGTTCTCCCAGCCCTATCTGATCCCTTTCCACTTTATGTCACACAAGTGTTTCCCCTAATAAAAATCCTGGCTCATTTAATCCTGTCTTGAAGTCTGCACTTTTTGGAAGAAATAAACTAATACACATGGGTTATATCAAATTCTATCTATCTATCTATCTATCTATCTATCTATCTATCTATCTATTATCTATCTATCTATCTATCTATCTATCTATCTATCTATCTATCTATCTATCTGTCTTCTATCCATCTAGAGACAGATTCTTGCTCTGTCACCCAGGCTGGAGTGCAGTGGCGTGATCTCGGCTCACTGCAACCTCCATCTCCTGGGTACAAGCAATTCTCCTACCTCAGTCTCCTGAGTAGCTGGAATTATAGGTGCCCATCACCACGCCCAGCTAATTCTTGCACTTTTAATAGAGACAGGGTTTCGCCACGTTGGCCAGGCTGGTCCTGAACTCCCGACCTCAGGTGATCCGCCTGCCTCAGCCTCCCAAAGTGTTGGGATTACAGGCGTGAGCCACTGCGCCCGGCCTATTATTTATTTATTTATTTATAGAGATGGGGTCTTGCTCTTTCACCCAGGCTGGAGTACAGTTGGAAGATCGTGATTCACCATAGCCTCGAACTCCTGGGCTCAAGTGATCCTCCCACCTTAGCCTCCTGAGTAGCTGGGACTATAGGCATGTGCCATGATGCCCAGCTAATTTAATTTTTTTGTAGAGATGGGGTCTATGTTGCCCGGGTTGGTTCCAAACTCCTGGCCTCAAGCAATCTTCCCATCTCTGCCTCCCAGAGTGCTGGGATTACAGGCATGAGCCACTGTGCCCAAATTCTACTTTAAATAAGGTAAAAACAGTGCAATCTAATAAGGTACCAACAGTGCAATCTACAGTCCTTCTTCCTATTAGCCACCCTCCCCCATTAATTAAAAGTTTTAAATCAAAATTATACTTGCAGATAGTCTAAAAAGTTAAATAACTTTGTAAAGCTTATGATTAAAAATAATGGTCTCCTGTTCTACCTCTGCCATCTGCTTCCTGCTCCCCGGAGGTAACTACTTACAGCTCTTTAAGTGTTCCTTCTGGTATTTATTTTCATATTTCTAAATACTACGCACTCGCTAATTAGCCTCTTCCTTGCTGCTCACCATTCAATCCCCTCTCCTGGACGGCAGAAGAAAGCTAAGCCATCCTGTGCTGGGGGCTTGCTTTATGGGAAGGAGCCCCCATTGGTAGCAGCGTGGGCCGTTCTCCTGGGTAGAATTCTCACTGAGCAAGGCTTTGCAGCAGGCTGGGGCAGGTGATCCCAGGATTGCTAAGCAAGGTGGTAGAGGCTACGTTTGGTTCATTTTACAATCAGAGACCTCTGATCTCTAGTAGTTCCACCTGCAGCTCCTCTGCATTAGCAAAATCTCATCATAGCAGCCACATGGATGGAACTGGAGGACCTCATGTTAAGTGCAAGAAGCCAGGCACAATAAGACAAATTTTGCATGTTCTCACTCATTTGTGGGAGCTAAAAACTAGAAGCAAATAAAGTCATGAAGACGGAGAGTAGAAGGAGGGCTACCAGTGCAGGGAAGGGTAGTGGGGAGGGGTGGGGGAAAGTGGAGATGGTTCATGGGTACAAAAATACAGTTAGATAGAAGGAATAAGATCTAGGCTAGGCGTGGTGGCTCATGCCTTTAATCCTAGCATTTTTGGGAGGTTGAGGTGGGTGGATCACCTGAGGTCAGGAATTTGATGGTGAAACTCCATCTCTACTAAAGAAAAAAATACAAAAATTAGCTGGCCATGGTGGCAGGTGCCTGTAATTCCAGCTGCTCGGGAGGCTAAGGCACGAGAATCCTTTGAGCCTGGGAAATGGAGGTTGCAGTGAACCGAGATTGTGCCACACGGCACTCCAGCCTGGGCTAGAGGGTGAGACTCTGTCTTAGGGACAAAAAAAAAAAAACCAAAAAAACAAAAAAACAAAAAAACAAAAAAAAACTACTATTTCCTAGATCTAGACAAGGTGACTATCGTCAACAATAATTCATTATATATTTAAAAATAACTAAAAGAGTGGAATTGGAATGTTTCCAATACAAAGAAATGATGAATGATTGAGGGGATGAATACCCCCTTTGCCCTGATGCGATTATTACACATTGTATACCTGTATCAAAATATCACATGTACCCCATAAATACATACACCTACCAAGTATCCATAAAAATTAAAAAAACAACAAACAAGAAAAAACCTTATCTTTAAACCAAGGCATGGTGAGATCCTGTTTTTCTCCTAAGCATGGCCTAAAATGGCACTAATGGAAGTCCAAGGTTCCAAAGGAAGACAGAAAGAATAGCAATTTCAGTTGTAGCCAGGCAACTGTTTGATTCAAAGGAGTCACTCTTGCTCTGCCAGGCCTTAGAACTGGGGGCAGACCAGCCACATTGGACCAGCCAATATGGCGACCTACAGCAAATAATGGCCCCCTTGGCTCAAGACTGCCATCTGCTGGAAGCCTGGTAATAACAGTTTTCAACTCTTTAAAGACGAGGAGGTGAAAGGCGCTCCCTAGGGTTGTGCGAAGCCTGAGGACCCACCTTGCTGAGGACCAGCAGACGCTGCTTCTCCTTCTCATTGGTGGCTAGGGAGGCAAACTGCTGCAGCTGCAGGGGCGTTGGTGGCGTGGTGATGTCCAGGTAGTACTTGAAGGCCTGGAAGATGGTGCAGGGTGGGAGGCGGTGCTCGTCTGTCCAGTTACTGATGACGCCTGTGGAGGTACAAGGCGGGTGAGGGGTGGGTGTGGGAGGGCTTGAGTCTAAGTCGGGGGTTCAGGTCTGCTCCTGGAGCAGAGGATGGGGCCAGGTGAGGAGGGTGGCTCCAGAGCCAAGCAACCTTCTAGCTCTCCACCTTCCATGCCCAGAATCCAGGGGATTTCATGTGTGCAAGAAGCAAATCCAAAATTAATTATGCAAATGAATCAAAAAATTAAGAAAAATACATGAAGAGAGGAGAAAAATATTAAAATAGCATGGCATAGTCCACTGGCGTTCTATACAACGAGCCCCCAGCTGTGGGTGACAGAGATAAGCCTATTTCGGCCCCATGTATCATGGGATGGTATCAGCCTCTCACCCCCTGAATTGGATGTTAGTGTTTGTCATTATAAACGCTAACACTTATCTAGCACAGTCTATGTGCCGAGTACTATTATTAGTATTTTATATTAACTCATTTAATCATCACAACAATCCAAGACAGTGTTATTCTTCTCCCCGCTTAGAAAAATAGAAGCACAGAGAGGTTAAGAAATTTGCCCGAGGTCACACAGCTCATAAGCGTGAAGTCAGGCAGTGTGGCTTCAGACCTTGTTCTGACTACTATATTGTACTCCCTCTATATACTCTTCCTCCAATATGTCCCTAAATATAAGCCTCTCCTCCATCAGGGGTTCGATCCCAAATAAAAAGCTCTATTTCAACATAGAGGAAGTATTGTCTGGGTTGGATTTATTTTATTTTATTTATTTATTTTTTTAGACTGGGTCTCACTCTGTTGCCCAGGTTACAGTGCAGTGATGCGATCACAGCTCACTGTAGCCTTGAACTCCTGGGCTCAAGTGATCCTCCCACCTCACGCTCCTGAGTAGCTGGGAATACAGACGTGAGCCACCATGCCCTACTTTTTTTTTTTTTTTTTTTTAGATGGAGTCTCGCTCTGTCACCCAGGCTGGAGTGTAATGGTGCGATCTCGGTTCATTGCAACCTCTGCCTCCCGGATTCAAGCGATTCTCCTGCCTCAGCCTCCTGAGTCGCTGGGATTACAGACATGTGCCACCATGCCCGGCTAATTTTTTGTATTTTTAGTAGACACGGGGTTTTGCCATGTTGGCCAGGCTGGTCTCGAACTCCTGACTTCAGGTGATCCACCCACCTCGGCCTCCCAAAGTGCTGGGATTATGATTATAGGCATGAGCTGCCGCACTCGGCCTGATGCCTGGCTAATTTTTGTATTTTTTTGTAGAGATGCAGTTTCACCATGTTCCCAGGCTGGTCTCAAACTCCTGGGCTCAAATGATCTGCCTGCCTCAGCCTCCCAAAGTGTTGGGATTACAGGCGTCAGCCACCTCACTCAGCCAGGATTTATTAAGAGAGGGTATGTCTCAGCCGGGTGTGGTGGCTCATGCCTGTAATCCCAGCACTTTGGGAGGCCAAGACGGGTGGATCACCTGAGGTCAGGAGTTTGAGACCAGCCCGGCCAACATGATGAAATCCCCGTCTCTACTAAAAATACAAACAATTAGCTGGTGTGGTGGCATGCGCCTGTAATTCCAGCTACCCAGGAGGCTGAGGCAGGAGAATCACTTGAACTTGGGAGGCGGAGGTTGCAGTGAGCCAAGATTGCGCCACCGCACTCCAGCCTGGGTAACAAGAGCAAAACTCTGTCTCAAAAAAAAAAAAAAAAAAAAAAAAAGAGGGTATGTCTCTCTAACGTAGTGTCTTCCTGAGAGGTTTTCAGCAGGGCTTTGACGATATGCTACTTTCACATTCTATCCTGACTTCACATCCTAGCTCTTTTGTAAAAGTGACAGTCCTGTATTGGTCTGCCAGGTAAGGTCACTGCAGTTCCTTGTACCTGACCCTTGAGCCCACCTGTGCTCCTGGATGAAGCGCTGGGACCCATTTGCCTTTGAAAGTTCTTCAATATGAATGTCAAGGATGGACACTTAAGCAGGCGAGAGCTTGATCTAATGAGGTAAAACATGTGGGCTCAATCCCTCGTTGGCCATCGAGCTTCCTATAGTACCTTTTGATTCTAAGAGGAGGCAGGATCAGATTTCTGCTGTTATTTACCTGGTGGGCAATGGGGTACTAGAGATTTTCCTGAGGGGTAGTGGTGAGGATGGAAAGTGAAAAGAGTGGCTACTGCTAACATCCGTGTCTAGTCAATGAAGGAAGGTAGCGGCCCCCTTCTCCCAATGGTGAGCCATCGATGGCCTGGCACCATGCGCATTTATTTGCTCAGCTGGTTGGCCCAAGGTTGATCAGCCATGAGAAAGGGGAAAATCTTCAGTCTCATCGGCTGCTAGCAACAGAGACCCACTCTCCTGCCTGGACTGGTGATTGGGAAGAACGGGTCTCTTCTTCCCCAGACACCCACTGCCTCTGCAGCTCCCTAGAGCAGGGAAGGGCCCCTGGGAATGTTACCTAAAGCCGTGTTCCGCTCCTCCAGCAGTTCCACTTTCACCATCTGGTTGACAGGGGGTGCGTCTTCCAGCCGCTCGATCAGGGCATTTACGAGGTCCTCGTGGTTGCCAGGGAAGACGCCCAGGTGGTCCCCAGGCTGGTACTGCAGCTCCTGATTCCCGTTGGTGTGGAGACGCACGAAGATAGTTGACCGACTGCAGGAAATTGCAGAGGAATCATAGGACAAGGGCCAGCAGCTACTTCTTCCTTTTCTTTGGCTCTTCTGTCTGTCCCTGTTGGCTGCAGTTCTCCTCCTTCCATTCTTGTTGGGGCCTGTGCTAACCAAGCCTATTCCCCCATCATTCTATTATTATTATGGTGAGATAGGGTCTTGCTCTGTCACCCTGGCTGGAGTGCAGTGGTGCGATCACAGCTCACTGCAGCCTCTATCTCCCAGGCTCAACGATCCTCCCACCTCAGCCCTCCCAAGTAGCTGGGACTATAGGCAGGCACTGTCATGCCTGGCTAATTTTGGAATTTTTTGTACAGATGGAATTTCCCTATGTGGCCCAGGCTGGTCTCAAACTTGTGAGCTGAAGCAATCTTCCCACCTCAGCCTTCCAAAGTGCTAGGATTACAGGTAAGGGCCACAGTGCTCAGCCATCATTCTACACTGAGGCTTTTTATCAAGGTCACCAGTGAACTCCTCACTGCAAATCCAGTGGCTGCTTCCTAGGCTTCATCTGGATCTGGAAGCAGTGTTGGGCATAACTACTCACTCTCTCCTTCTCAACTCCCTTCTTTTGGATTCTAGCACCCCATTCTCAGTACTAATAGGGGTTCTCTCAGTGTCTAGCACTACACTGGAACCACAGACTGTGGTATTCCCAATCTGTGAAATTCTACATCTCCTAGGAATTGCAAGCCCCACTGCCTTTGGCAACCAGGGTTCCTCGTGTTGTAACGGTAAAGGAAAAAAGACTTGGCTTTAAGCTTGGGTTCCTCCTATGCATAAACTCATCAATATTACAACATTGAGAGATCTAAAAAGACAACACAGAAGGAAAGTCACTGATGCCTACCAGGTTATAACCTTTCTACATTGATTTTTGTGTTTCAGGTTCAGGAGGCCTGTGCTAATCCAACGGCTTTCAATAATAAACTCTCAGAATGTGATTATTCTGGTCCTTTAAAAAGTTTTGGTACAGGCCAGGCGCAGTGGCTCACACTTGTAATCCCAGCACTTTGGGAGGTGGAGGTGTGCGGATCACCTGAGGTCAGGAGTTTGAGACCAGCCTGGCCAACCTGACAAAACCCCATCTCTACTAAAAACACAAAAATTAGCTGGGCATTGTGGCACACGCCTGTAATTCCAGCTACTCCGGAGGCTGAGGCGGGAGAATCACTTGAACCCAGGAAGTGGAGGTTGCAGTGAGCCGAAACTACACCACTGCACTCTAGCCTGGGCAACAGGGAGAGAGTATATCCCCCTACCCCCGCCACCCAAAAAACAAAAAAACGAACCCCACAAAAACCTTTCAGTACAGTATACTGCATTTTACACAATACCTGCAAACTCTAGGATCAACTACACTTGGATAAATCAAATCTTTTGCACCCTTTGAGCTATGATTGCTTTTTCAGACCTGCTTTTTCTTCATTGCCAATGAGTTTTCAGTGGATAGAGACGCTTGATATTCAACATGAAGTTTCTATATTCTCTACGGTATGTAAATCAACACTTGAATAGCCCAATGGGACTCGCTATTTAAAGGAGTTTTTGGCTCAACCAAGAACCCCTTTGTGCTACAAATAGCCACCATTATTAAAAAGAGTTGAGCGGGCATATTATTTTGGGGGAAGAAACGGTGTCAAGTATTTTCTTGAAGCAAGGCATCCCCGCCCTTAGCATAGTGGGGAACTTAGCGACCATAATTGTGAATGGTAGTATTAAGGTCTGGAGTCCCACTGTCCCTCCCTGGGCAGATCTTGCCCTGTCTGGGAACCTGCACGACTGAGCCTTCTCAGAGCTCACACCAGTCTTTGGTTCCTGGGGAGCAGACATTACCTCCAGAGAGCTGCAAGAAGTAAATCGCAGAAGCCAGGGCCAGCAGGGGGCGCTGTGGGGTTTCTAATTTGGGAGCCTCCTAAGTTTACCCAAAGGAAGCCTTTGAAAGGCCCGCAAATCAATTCCCGCTTTCTTCCCAGATCATCACGATTTGTACAAAATAGAAACGGAGAGGACCCAAACTTGCTGAGCTAGCTCACGAGCACAGCCACCTCCCCCCAAGTCCTCTTGAACGAGGCAGAGGGTGGCCGTGCAGACAAGGAGCAGGCATGGGAAAGTGGCTGGCCCGTGGGCTAGAAGGTGGGTCCAGGCGCTGGCCCTGCTGGGAGTTTAATCAAGGGGACTCTGCATGCTGCTTGGGGGTGCTTGCTGAGAACCCCCAGCGTTGAATGGCCGCAGGGCCCCAGGGCACCTTGGTGGGCTGGTCTTTGATGCTTTGCTGGGAAGCCGACCCTCTGGGGAGTAGCACTGGCTCATAAACCAATTGTCTTAAATCTCAGTTCTGCTGAGCTTTGTAAGTGGATAATTTTTAAACATTTTTAAAAATTATTATTTTTATTTTTTTTGAGATGGAGTCTCTCTTTGTTGCCCAGGCTGGAGTGCAGTGGTGCGATCTTGGCTCACTGCAACCTCCACCTCCTGGGTTCAAGCGATTCTCCTGCCTCAGCCTCCAGAGTAGCTAGGATTACAAGCGCCCACCACCATGCCCGGCTAGTTTTTGTACTTTTAGCAGAGACAGGGTTTAACCATGATGGCCAGCTGGTCTCAAACTCCTGATCTCAGGTGATCCACCCGCCTCAACCTCCCAAAGTGCTGGGATTACAAGTGTGAGCCACCACGCCTGGCCTATTTTTTATTTTTTCTTAAAGCTTGGGACACATATGGGCCATATGAGAAGTACAGGGAGAAGGGGAAGAGGCAATGGAACAGCAGCCACCATTTGGGCCCTATTTCCTTCTCCCCCGAGTGTCCCCTCTGTGTGATTTATTTCTAGTCACATCCAGAAGCATCACATACACACACATGCTTGGCGGTGGCTCAATGATAGGTTTGCAGATAAAAGAATAATTTGCTAATGTCCAGCATTAAATGGAAAAAAAACCCAGAAAATGTGCATTCTTCAGTGAAAAGGATAAATATTGTCAGCTGTGAACTGCTCAAGTTAACAAGGTTCATTCATTCAACACCCGTACATTGCGTGCCAAGCACTGTTCTAGGCACTAGTGAGAGAGTGATGGGGAAGGACAGCAAAGTGCCCTATTCTCATTGAGAAGTCACTTAAAAGATCTCAGGTGGGGTTGGTGATGTGGATGAGTGGGTGGTGATGGGTTGAGGGGAGTAGGCTATGTCGATAGGACAGTCACGGAGACCTCTCTGGCGATTTGACATTTAAGCAGAGACGTGCAAAGACCTGCAGGCACAGCATTCCAGGGATGGGGAAGAGCACGTGCAAAGGCCCAGAGGCAGAGAAAAGGTGGCATGTTCAAGGAAGTGAAAGAAGGCTGGAGTGTTTGTTTGGACAATAGTAGCGGCCATATCACAAGAGCCTCATGATGACCTGCCATGGGAAGGAGTTTGGAGGTTTCCTGAAGTCCAGCAGACCATCAGGGGCTGTGAAGCCGGGGAGTGATAGGCTTCAATTCACGGTTTTGAAAGATTCCTCTGTCCGACGACCCGCTTCCATAGTAAAAGATTAGGGTGGGGGTGGCCAGAAATTCACACCTTATACAAGTAGGACACCTAGTCCAAACCAGTTTTTCGCACCCTATGCAAATGGCACGCCTGGTCCAACCAATATTTTGCGTCCTATGTAAATCAAACACTGCCTCCTCACTAGACATCTGTAAACCCCCAAGCCCCCGTGCATTTCACCGTGGATCTGGCAACCCATTTCTCCAGGACCCCTCTCTTCAGCAGAGAGCTTTTTTTTTTTTTTTTTTTTTTTTAAGACGGAGTCTCACTCTGTTGCCCAGGCTGGAGAGCAGTGGTGCGATTTTGGCTCACAGCAACCTCCGCCTCCCGGGTTCAAGTGATTCCCCTGCCTTAGCCTCCCGAGTAGCTGGGATTACAGGCACCTGCCAACATGCCCAGCTAATTTTTGTATTTTTAGTAGACACAGGGTTTCACCATGTCGGCCAGGCTGGTCTCAAACTCCTGACCTCGTGATTCGCCTGCCTTGGCCTCCCAAAGTGCTGGGATTACAGGTGTGAGCCACCGCACCCAGCCCTTTCTTTCATCAATTAAACTTCTACTCTTAACCTCAAAAATAAAATAAAATAAAATAATAAAAAAAAAAAAGAAAGAAAGAAAGGAAAGATTCCTCTGTCTGCTCTTTGGAAACCGATGTTTTTAGAGAAAAGCTCAGAAACCAAGAGACAAGTTGGGTGGCTATTCCAGTCAGTCAGACTGGACATGCCCATGGCTTTGCTCAAGGTGGTGGGTCTGAGATGTAGTTGAAAGACAAGGCCAAGGGCATCTGCTGAGCGACTGCATGACCCAGGCGAGAGGGAGAGAGGAATGAGGATGACACTGGAGGTTTTGACTGAAGCCAAACGTTGATGTCCTCTGTTGAGATGGGGAAGGCTGGAGAGAAGCTATTTTACTCAAGGGGAGATGAGACTGAAGCATTCTACTGATCAAGAACTCTGCATTGTAATGTCTGCCATTCTCCCAGACGTCCCGGTGCTGACCTTAACTTCTGCTGTTCTTCCTTCCTGGACCCCCCTCCTCTTTCCCGCCTTTCTAAAGCCCACCCTCCCATAAGAGGTTCATCTCAAGTCCTGCATTCCCCTCTTGCTCCTGATTTCTAGGACTTAGTGTCTACACCCCACACATCAGCCATCCATTATGCTCTCTCTTCTGTGTCATTTGCTAATTGTTGTACGTGCATTAGAAAATTTATTTCCAGGCTGTGATGGTGACTGTGGTCACTTTTCTCTTTAGATTTTCAAGGATCATCCTCAAAAGGCTGCCTACTTCCTCATAAGCACTTTGCCTGCAATTAATGGTCTCTCGTAGGGGGATTAGTGATATCTTGGTCGTGGCCTTTTAGGCCAGACAGCCCAACTTCAGCCTCGGGCAGGAGAAAACGGGAGAGTCATACTTTTTCACTCAATTATCCTTTTTCTTCTTTTTTTAAATAAGCCTTATGAAGCTGGAAATGGTATTAAGCTTGAAAATAGGTAGTGCTTTTAAAGCACTTTAAGCTTGAAAATAGAGAACATGCTTTTAAAGAGAGAAACACGGAGGTAAGACTGGGTCCTTTTTGTGCTAATTCATAACTGATTTGAATTCTACACTCCAGTTCTAACCTTGTTTGGAATATTCTCTTGCTAGTCACTTTTAGACCCGTCGCTTAGAGTCAGGTGCCTCCTCTGGATGGGCGGGGGTGGGGGCTGATTTAGGGACTTTTGGTTTCACTTAGCATCAAAACATTTGCAAGTTTCCTTGCTACTTATGTACTATGGCTTTGGGAGTAAATTCTGTAAGCTGGTCTTTCATAGTTTGTTGCTGAAGGAAATTTCCAGTAGATTATTAGGCCTTCTCATGCAATGCTACTTATATCATCCCTTCCCATAGGACCAAAATAAGTAGTAAGAGATATATTTCAAATACGGAGTCCCTCTCCATATCAGGGGCCATTATGCTCTGAATTGCACTTAACTAATTATTCGGAGATTAATTTCCCACTCCATTTCTTTAATGTTTGAGAATCTAAGAGAGAATATGAGAGCCCTGGGGCTCTGCTCTGTTGATCACTTTTATCAAAGGTTTGGAAGATTACATAGAAAGCACACACACTAAATTTGCAGGTGACATGAAGCATGGATGGATAAGGAATACTGATGGGACTCTATGATATGCTAGTTGCTTTATGTAGCTTATTTTTAATACTTAGCAGCCTTGCAATGCTGGTGAGGCCATCTGTGTAGCCATTTGGCACACTGACTTTGGAGTCAGATAACCAGGTCGGTGTGACCTTGAGAAAGTCACTTGTATTTTCTAGTTGTCATTGTTCCTATTTAAAATGTGTATGATAAGAGCGCCTACTTCCCAGGCTGGTTAGAATTATAAAAGATCCTGGACAGAGGACTCAGCACAGCGCTTGGAACACAGAGAGCTCTAGAAAAACATTAGTAATCTTCATAGTTATCATTCCTATTATGAAGGTAAGGAGACAGGGGCTCAGATCACCTAAATGGCTTAGCCAAGGCTGCACAGCTAGTGCATGGCAGAGCTGGGGTTAGAGCCCAGAACTGCTTAATCAAGAGCCTACTCTTAGACATCACATCTCAAATTGATCAAACTGGGTCTGTCCATCCATCTCTCTACTTGTATAAGTAATTTTTCTTTTTCTTTTTTCTTCTCCTTTTTTTTTTTTTTGAGATGGAGTCTTACTCTGTCGCCCAGGTTGGAGTGCAATGGTGCAATCTCAGCTCACTGCAGCCTCCGCCTCCTGGGTTCCAGCGATTCGCCTGCCTCAGCCTCCTGGGTAGCTGGGATTATAGGCCCCCACAACCACACCTGGCTAATTTTTGTATTTTTAGTAGAGACAGGGTTTCACCATGGTGGTCAGGCTGGTCTTGAACTCCTGACCTCATGATCCATCTGCCTCGGCTCCCAAAGTGCTGGGATTACAGGTGTGAGCCACCATGCTGGGCCGAGTAATTTTTCTAGCACTAATGAAGGTCTTTGCACTGGTTCCCGTTGAATGGAATGTTTTTCACTTTGTAGTTACAGCAGAACATCTTTTCAAGTCTTGATTCTTTGCACAGCATAGTTCACTGCGCCGTGCTTAGTTCACCGGGTTACCCACCTCTGTTCCCAGAGCAGCAAGGGGGTCTCTGTGGTACTTTGCAATAATTGGAAAACAGCCAGTCCTTGGAATCAACAAGAGCTTGTCCTTTATTGTGGGTGGCACCTGGGAGCAGAGGTGGGTAACCCAGTGAACCAAGCACAGCACAGTGAACTATGCTGGGCAAAGAATCAAGACTTGAAAAGATTCTTGATTCTTCTGCTGTAACTACAAAGAGAAAAAGATTCTATTCAACAGGGATCTATGCAAAGACTTTCATTAGTGCTAGAAAAATTATTTATACAAGTAGAGAGATGAGCAGACCTGGTGTGATGATTTTGAGAAGACGTGATGTCTAAGAACAGCAGTGACCGCTTTTAATGGAAAAGCAAAACGGCCATTAGAACCATGCCTGAGATCTCAGGCAGCATTAGCGCGTCCTGTTCAAATTGGTGATGGTAATAATAACCTGAGCACATTTGGCAGTGATCACATACTCTCCACTGCACTGTGACCAGGTGAGAGTGACATTTCCAGCAGGACAGAGTGTGTCCTTTTACTAAAGCCAGAGGCTTGGGAAACCATGTCTTAGAAAGAATGACTTGAAGGAATCAGGCCCCAGAGGAGATTGGTCAATGTCGTTGGCTATTTCCAGTCTCTCATTTGGAAAGAAATAAACTTGTCTTAGGTGTCACCAGAGAGTAAAACTGGGTTTAAAATAAAGTGCTAGGAAGACATGCTTTGGTTATATTTGATAAAAAGATACTGGTTATATTGGATATTAAGCTAATTTCTAACAATTAGGACTTTATCTCCCATCAACCCAAAGAAATTTAAGCAGAGTGTGGGTAGCCACTTTTTAGCTACATTAAAAAAATTATTCATAATAGGAAATACTTGGACTAAGTGATTTCCAGCTAAGATGCTGTGGTACAATGAACATGTAGCAAATCTACAAGGGTGTGGTCCACTGTTAAAAAAACCTTACTCAGAAAACCTTTTTCTTTCCCCTTTTCATGAGATCAACACCATCTCCTTTTCCCACCCCTTCAGGCTGGAGCTTGGCAAAAGGAAAGCAGGAACTCCAGACGCTAAAAAGCAGCAAGGGAGTCTCTATGGCACTTTGCAACGATTGGAAAACAGCCGTCCTTGGAGTTCACAGGGCTTGTCCTTCATCATGGGTGACATTTGAGAGAACAGGCGGGTAACCCAGTGAACCAAGATGTTCCTACCTGGATTTAGGGCTCTGGAGGTTTTGACGGCTAAGGAGTCGGGCAGCTGAGACTCGCTTTTTGTGGACATTGGATAGACCTGTGGGGAGAAAAACAGTCTTCCTGAGAAGGTGTTGAATGTTCCATTAAAAACTCCCCAGGCGGGGCAAGGTGGCTCATGCCCATAATCCCAACTACTTAGGAGGCTGAGGTGGGAGGATCACTTGAGGCCAGGAGTTCAAGACCAGTCTGGGAAACATAATGAGACCTTTTCTCAGAATATTAATACAAACAAACACTCTGCAGCATTTTCTTCACCCTCTACTGACACTTCTACTGTTATCTGGAGTAGAATGAGAGACAGAAGAGAACAGATGAGGCAGGCATTGGTTGGGACGGGTGAGGTGGTTGTGGGTAGTGCAGAACAAAAAGAAAATCTGGTTGAATTAAGTTGAGAAGAGGATGGTTTGGAAGAACACAGCATATTACTAGAGAGACAGAGAGAGAGAGACATTTCCCAGTACTTGTTTTACGGAGCGTGGGAGGGCAGCAAAGTATTCATTTTGGTAAGACTGCACTAAAGGGAGATCAAAGCAATGAAGCCCATCTTCCCTAAGCACCTTCTGGAGGTGAGATCGCCTGCCTTTCCCCCATTGTCATGAATGCCTCCCTAGAAGGGTGGTGGGAGGTACCTTGCGTGAGTTCTGGAGCTTCGGCCACATAGGTGAGGCGGAACTTGTTTCTCTTCCAGCTGCGGTCATTGCTGATGAGGGAATTGTTCGCCTTTTCAATGTTGACATCATCTCCCACACAGAAGACATCACAGGCTGCCTGTGGTGTACACAAGGCTTTCAGTGACCTCTTTCAGCCAAGCGGATCTCCTTGCCAACAGCTCCAAGTCATGGCATGTATCTACATCCACCCATCCATCCATCTATCCAACTATCCATCCATCAATCCATTCATCCATCCATCCATCCATTCATCTATCCATCCAGTAACCCTTCTCTCCTTCCCTTCTTCCTTCCCTTCCTTTCTTCACTCTACCCTTTCATTGTCTTCCTTCCATCCATTCACCCATCCACTCATCCACTCTGCCATTCATCTACCCTTCCGCCCTCCCATCCATGTATCCATCTTTCCATCCATCCATCTGTCCACTCACCCACCCATCCACCCACCCACCCATCCATCTTTCCATGCACCCATCCTTCCTTCCATCTACCCATGCACTCATCCATCTTTCCATGCATCCATCCTTCCATCCATCTACCCATCGACCCACCCACCCATCCATCTATCTTTCCATGCATCCATTCTTCCATCCATTCACCCACCCATCCATATATCTTTCCATGCATACATGCATCCATCCACCCTATATATTTTGAGTGTCTGCGATGTGCTGGACATGTCAGATTTGCCATTGACTTTAGGACCTAACCTGCACTTAAGATATAATTCTATTATGTCATTTATTCCTAAAATTAATGTGTGTAGAGGTTTAACATTAAATAAGAAAGTAAACATCTCAGAATTTCCCAATCCATCTTCCTCTAAATATTTAAGAATTATGTAAAGAAAGGGCATATTGAATGAATGTCTGGATGACTGCAAATACATTTTCCTTTTTTTTTTTTTTTTTTGGTCAAGCTCACTTGTTCTTCGATTTTAACAGTTCTAAGAATTGCTGTCCTTATTTATTTATTTATTTATTTATTTATTTATTTATTTAAGACAGAATCTCACTCTGTCACCCAGGCTGGAGTGCAGTGGTGCAATCTTGGCTCACTGCAGCCTCAACCTCCTCCCCAGGTTCAAGTTATTCTCATGCCTCAGCCTCCCAGGTAGCTGGGATTACAGGCATGTGCCACCACACCCAGCTAATTTTTGTATTTTTAGTAGAGACAGGGTTTTGTTATGTTGGCCAGGCTGGTTTCGAGCTCCTGGCCTCAAGGGATTTGCCTGCCTCGGCCTCCTAAAGTGCTGGGATTACAGGCATGAGCCACCATGCCCGGCCAATGTCCTGAGTTATTTTTAAGATAAAACCACAGATAATTCAAAATAATGATAATTTTTAAGAATAGTTCTTACCATTGTTTGACCTCATGTTGACTTTAAAACAATCCAAATGTTCACCAGTGGATGAATGGATTAACAAGACTTGACACATCCATACAATGGAATATTATTTGGCTATAGAAAAGGATGAAGTTCTGATACACGCTACGGCATGAATGAACCTTGAAAACATTATACTAAGTGAAAGAAGTCAGTCACAAACGACCACATTATGATTCCATTCATATGAAACGTCCAGCACAGGGAAATCTACAGAGACAGAAAGTTGGTTTGTGTTTGCCAGAGCTGGGAGTGGGATGGGAGCAGGAGGTTGACAGCTAAAGGGTACAGTGGCTTTTAACAGGCCTTCCTTCCTGGTTGCTCAGTCAGGGTTGGCTGATGGAAATCAAGCAACAGAATTATCCCAATGGGTATAAAAAGCCATTATTTCAACTCTCCTTGTCTGGGAGGAAATGCAAGAACAGGCTGATAAACACTGCCTCCCCACATGGAAATCCTCACAGCCCAGGGGCCTCAGCTTCCCCATTTGCTCTCTACCTGCATTTGCTTTCAGGACGAAAAGTGTCATCTAAATGACAGAAGGTTGCATAGTACTCTTCTCCCGGGGTTGCTGATGAGTATGCATTCCAAGGCTAGGATGGCGTGGGTAAAAGTGGCAGGGTCTACATTCATTACCACCTCCCAGCCTAGAATGGTCAGTTTAGTCATCCTCATATGCAGATAGAAGGCCATGCATGGTTCATTTATTCTCCTGTGGCCTTAAATTTAAAACAGCTCTGGCCAATAGGATGTCTTATCATGATGGAAAGGTTCTACACTGTCTAATATGGTAACCCCTACCCCTGTGGCTACTGAGAATGCAAAATGTGTATTCTCAGTTGCTTACTGCAACTGAGCAATGGGATTTTTTTTTTTAAATACTGAAGAAAGATAACAGTTTATTATAATTTATTTTATTTAACAATCTAGGAAGTTCGCAGCCATCAGCAGTTCCAGCGCAATTTCAAGTACAATTGGGGATTCTGGAATCTCAGTGGAGCTGTGAATGTAGTGAACGTTGTATGTAAACTGTGTGCCATGCCTATAATCCCAGCACTTTGGGAGGCCCAGGGGGTGCGGACTGACTGAGCTCAGGAGTTCACGACCACCCTGGGTGACACGGTGACACCCCATCTCTACTAAAATACAAAAAATTAGCTGGGCATGGCGGCAGGTGCCTGTAGTGTCCCAGCCTCTTGGGAGGCTGAGGCAGGAGAACAGATTGAACCCAGGAGGTGGAGGTTGCAGTGAGCCAAGATCGTGTCACCGCACTCCAGCCTGGGCAACAGAGCAAGATTCTGTCTCAAAAACAAAACAAAACAAAACATGTATACTTTTGTTAATACAGGGATAGGAATCTCTCTCTCAAATTAACTTCATTTGTTTTATTCTCAGCAAACTGACCTGGGCCACTCAACATGGCTTTTATCATTCCTGATGTTAGCACATGTTCTATTTTTACAACACATTCCTGACCCTCAGAAGGTATCAGTTAGACATGCATGGTACCAGGGACTTCACAGCCACCATAGGCTTTCTCCTCTACATCCATCATGTTCTCATGAAATTCTACTTTGCTTCCCCAGGAACTTCAGTAGTTTCCTGGTAAGGTGGGGATGCAGAGTCTGTCGCTCCCTTCTGTCTGGAGGAAGTCAGGAATGGGATTTTAAACCTATTAAATTAAATTAATTAATTAGTTTTTTAAAGACATGAGGTCGCACTATGTTGCCCAGGCTGGTCTTGAGCTCCCGGGCTCAAGCAATCCTCCTGCCCAGCCTCCCAAAGTGCTGGGATGACAAGCATGAACCACCATGCCCAGCCTTATTTAATTTTGAACTGTGTAGATAGGTATAGATGTAATTCACGTAACATCCAATTCACTGTTTAAACACGTACAATTCTGTGGCATGTAGAACGTCCACACGGTTATGCAACCCTTCCCACTATCTGCTTCCAGAACATTCTCATCACCCCCCCCACACTGAAAAACTTTTTTATCTGTTAGTAGTCACTTCCATTTCCCATCCCCATAACCCCTAGCAACCAATAACCTGCCTTCTCTCTCTATGGATTTTCTGATTCTGGACATTTCATATAAATGGAATCCTGCAATACATATTCTTTTGTGACTGTCTTCTTCCACTTAGCACAAAGTTTTCAAGGTCCATCCATGTTGTAGCATGTATCACCACTTCATTATTTTTTACAGATGAAGAATATTCCATTGCATTGATGTATCACATTTTATTGACCCATTCATCATATTTAATTTTAATTAGCTGAAGTTTAAATTTAAATGGCTATGTGTGGCTAGTGGCTACCATATTATATTGGTCAGTGAAGATCTAGCACAAGAGGGGTACGCTTGTCAAAGTTGGTAGACTGCCAAGATCTTAAGTTTGGTTTGGTTGACTAACTCTATGTTTTTCTGTGTACCTGTATACCAAATATGAGTGAGGGATGGCTTCCTCCCAGCCCTGACATTCCAAAACTCTATAATTTTTTTATGGACCAACTCCTTGCCCATAATGTAGAATGTTGGATTCTGGGTAGAAAATATGTGCTTTCAGGACACCCAAATTTATCTGAGCTGTTTAAAGTTGTATTTTGGCTGGATACATGGGAGAGGTACTGAGGGTTCTCTCAAGTTTATTCTCTTCTTGATGGTTTAGGTGCTGTCTTTGGGGGTGTGGGGAGCATTACTTCTCCCTGTAGGTCCATGAGATCTAGATTACCTTGAAGACCTTCTTGGCCCAGGTCCTGAAAGCCTCTTCCTGCCCACAGAGCTCATCCCCTTCCCTCATCTTCAGGATCCTCTCCCCTCCCAGTTCTTCCAGGAGGGTGTCCACAGCATGTCCGAAGGCGCAAAAGTGAGGGTATGCTCGTGAGCCAAGACCAAACACTGAGAACCTGTCAAGGGGACAACAGAATGTTCATGCTAAGGGACTGTGGGGAATGTGGGGAGTGTCTGGTGTAATGGGCTAAACTGTGTCCCCCCAAATTTCGTATATTAAAACTCTAATCTCCTTACAATTGTATTTTGAGATAGGGCCTTTAAGGAGGTAATTAGGGTTAAATTAGGTTATAAGGGTAGAGCCCTGTTCTGATAAGATTAGTGTCCTTATAAGAAGAGGAAGAGACACCAGACCTCTCTCTCTCTCTCTCTCTCTCTCTCTCTCTCTGGACATAGTAAGAAGGTGGCCATCTGCAAGCCAGAAAGGGAGACCTCACCAGAAAGCAACCCTGCTAGCACCTTGATCTTGAACTCTGGCTTCCAGTACCATGAGAAAATAAATTTCTTTTCTTTAAGCTGTCTGTGAGTTCTAGAATTACAGCCAATACCACTTAGTCTGTGGTATTTTGTTATGGTAACCTGAATTAATATATCTGTTATCTCAAAAAGAACAATGTTTAGCTGATGGTGGTCAGGCAACCCCAAGCTCATCTGTGGAAGGGCACTTTAAACCTAAGGGCTCTCAAGTGTTTCTCTCCCTTTCTTTTGGTCTCTTTTAATTACTGCCATCATCAGGAGAATATTCTAATTTGTTCTAAGGCGGACAAATTAGGGATAGCAATGACCTGGAACTACTGGCTGTTTTGTGCATGTCCACTTCTAAGCTGGACCAACTGGGGAAATTAGTCTATTTTAGTGGAAGGCTTAAATTCTATGAGTGACATAACTAGATTAGTTTTAAGTATGAAGATAATGAAACTATAACATAATGGTCCTCAGGGACTTGTATTAATGAAGAGACCAGAAGAAACTGTCATCAACACATCAGACAGGTTCTTCTAAAAGGGGATGAAAGAGTTATAAATATTCTGGTTACATTCCTTGTAGGGTCTATGAAATTAAATTGCTTCACAGACCCTCTGTGTATAGATACCACCAAGAAAATGTTGGTGCTTGAACCAGTGGGGTCAAGTTCATGAGATGTTTCTCTGTTTTGAGGTGGGGACACTTGGACTGAAGGAAGGAAATGGAGGGCTATGTCCTAGGTGGCTCCTGTACGGGTGGTCCACAGCCCTTCGGACACTTTCTGCCACATTTCTAGAACTTGGTCTTGGCTGTAGGTCTAGACCTCACAGTGACAGGAACAACAGGTTCATGAATGGGACAAAAACACCCCACCTTGCCCCACTTTTTAAGGTCAGAGTGTTCTGCTGTAGACTGTCATCTCAGATAAACCATGGAGTGGGACTACTTAACCCACTCCATACAGGATCAGGCCCTGCCCCTGAATCTCTTTTTTAGGTTGATGGGGACAAAATGGTAACAGATTGAGATGGGGAGGAAGGAAGAAGGTAGGAGAAGTTGGCAAGGTACCCTCCATCATTGGAGCATGAACTTGGGGTGGGTCCAGGTGCCTCACAGGTGAAAGTTAATGTAGGTTAATATCCACTCCCCTCAAATCCACACTCATATTGTATCATTTAATCTTCCTCTTCTTTCTTGCCCTCCTTTCCCTAGAATTCCAGAGCCTTTCCAAATAAAGTATGTGGGATTAGACAGCATTTTGCCATTTACTTATTGGTTTATTATTATTTTTTTGAGACAGAGTTTTGCTCTTATCACCCAGGCTGAAGTGCAGTGGTGTGATCTCGGCTTACTGCAACCTCTGTCTCCCAGGTTCAAATGATTCTTCTGCCTTAGCCTCACGAGTAGCTTGGATACAGGCATGCCTGGCTAATTTTGTATTTTTAGTAGAGACGGGGTTTCACCATGTTGGTCAGGCTGGTGTCAAACTCCTGACCTCGGTGATCCACACACCTTGGCCTCCCAAAGTGTTGGGATTACAGGCATGAGCTGCTGAGCCCAGCCTGCCATTTACTTTTAACTAATGATCTTCCTGAATCCAAAAACATTACCCTTTTCTTGCAGGGTGGTGGCCTGACAGGTAGACAGAGATGGTGACTGGATGTGGACTGATTGGAGGGGTGACACGAAAGGGCATCCCTGCCTGAAGCCACCTGCCTCAGCCTTAGCCCAGTGCAGATCGGGAGCTCCCAGCACTAGTCATGCCTTCTGGTTAAGGTGCTGTTTCCCGAATCTCTGTGATTTATGTTTGTGATGTCTGCCATATTCGATTACCACTGACACTGTCAACAACTCATTTGTGCTTTTGAACTTGCTTTTACTTTTTCCTCACTAGCTCATCACTCCTATGATCTGAATGTTTGTGTCTCCCCCAAATTCACAGGTTGAAACCTAACCCTCAATGTCATGGTATTAGTGGCCTTTGGAAGGTGATTAGGTCATGAAGGTGAAGCCTCATGAATGGGGTTAGTGCCTCATAAGGGGCTGAAGAGACCTTCCGCCATGTAAGGACGCAGCTGGAAGGTACCATCTATGAGCCAGAGAGTGGGCCCTCACCAGACACTGAATCTGCCGGCACCTTGATCTTGGACTTCCCAGCCTCTAGAACTGTGAGAAATAAATTACTGTTGTTCACAAGCTACCAGTTTATGGTGTTTGGTATAGTAGCCCCAATGGACCAAGGCTCCCAACTCTTGTGTTCACCAACAGATGATGATTCAGGTGGTTGATTCATTAACATTCTTCTTGGTGGGCCTGAGAACCTAGACTGCAGTCACTACTAGTCACATTTCCATCACAATCTTCAGCTTATGATCTCAAAATGCCTATTTTAAGCCTCCAAACCAGGAGTTGGCAAATCTTTTTTTTTTTTTGAGACAGAGTTTTGCTCTATCGTCCAGGCTCGAGTGCAGTGGCGCCATCTTGGCTCACTGCAACCTCTGCCTCCCAGGTGCAAGTGATCTTCCCACCTTAGTCTCCAGAGTAGCTGGGACCACAGGTGCATGCCACCACGCCCAGCTAAGTTTTTATATTTTTGGTAGAAATGGGGTTTTGCCATGTTGCCCAGGCTGGTCTCAAACTCCTGAGCCCAAGAGATCTGCCTGCCTTGGCCTCCCAAAGTGCTGGGATTATAGGCATGAGCCACTGTGCCCGGCATTGCCAAACTTTTTATATGTGGGGGTCAGACAGCAAATATTTTTAGGCTTACAGGCCGAGAAGCAAAATTGAAGCTATTACATAGGCACTTACAAAACAAGAAAGAAAACAAATTCCTGAACATTCTCAATTGATAAAATTAAAAACATAATAATAACACTTAAGCATACTTTAACACAGGTCTACTATGAGAAGACTGGAATTCATTTTTTGGGAGAGAATAATAACATTTTCTTCATTGGGGTTCAAAGGTAATGTTTTCTACCATCAAACTGATTACAAATGATCATCGGTAAGAAAAGCATTATTAGCTCATGGGTTGTTAAAAATATGCAGTGACCAGGCTGGATTTGGCTCACAGGCGTTAGTCTGCCAACCCCTGCCATGATAGATTTAATAAGGGAAAAATGGGTCTGACTGTCAAACTCTAGAACTGATGTTTCAATGTTGAGCTGAAAAATGTACTGATGTCAAAACCTATAGAATGTTCAACACCAAGAGTGAACCCTAAAGTAAACTATGGACTGTGGTTGATAATGATGTGTCCCTGTAGGTGCGTCAGTTCTAACAAACGCACCACTCTGGTGTGGGATGCTGATAGGAGGGGAGACTGTGCGTGTGTAGTGACAGGAGGATGTGGGAACTCTCTGTACTTTCTGCTCATTTTGCTGTTAACCTAAAATTGCTTTAAAACATAAAGCCTATTTGAAAATGTCCTGGAGGACATAACAGATATTTCAACATCTAGCAAACCAGTCATCTATATAATCTACTAAGCATTGCTCTGAGTAATTATGGAGAAGGCTCAGTTAGTGAAGTTCTGAGAGATTTGTGGCCAGGCCTGAAGGTTCTTCCTACAGGGCAACTCACATTAGTCTTGTCTTGATCAATATCCACGAAACCAAGGGTTTGACATCCCAGTTCTCTTTCCTTCCAAGAACCCATTAGACTGAATACACAACTGTTGTAATATAAAATATTTGTCCACGTACTTCCTAAAATTATCTCATAGTATTTGACTAGGCCATGAGATAATATGAGGCTAGGGCAGTATTTGTCAAATCTGACTGCATGTTAGAGTCAATTGGAGAGACTTAAAGGAAAAAGCAGCACATGGGCCCAATTCCAGATCAATTCCATCAGAATCTCTGGAGATGGGGCTTGGTTATTGTATTAGTATGCTGCAAACCTCCCCAGGTGATTCTGAGGAGCCTCCAGGATTGAGAACCATGGGGTCATAGCAGGGTGTCTACAGAAGCTTCTATTAAGTATACACCATAGCTATTGGGAAGGGCAGCTCATTGAGCAATATCCAGAGATTGACAGCCTTCAGCACAAATAACGGGGTGAACCTTGGGTAAGCGGGCTCTGAGGGAGTGTGTATAGAAAAAGAAGTCACAGAAAGGATAAAAACGGTGCATGGGGAGACCAGGCAATGTGACTTAATGGGTGGGAGGGGTCCCAGACAGCCAGGATGCAGCTGGTTTTATGAGAAATGAATGGACATAGAAGGGAGACTCCCTCCCCATGACGAAGAGCTCACTTCGTAACTAGGTCCAGCTCCCCAGGAGCCTTAGTCTTCCCTGATCCCCGACCCCCTTATCCCCTTGCTTACCTCACATTGGCCAGGGGTCCAGCACTCTCAAAGTTGTCTCTGAGGTCGGGCCCATCGCCTGATGATTTTTGGGAGTCAGAGTAGGAGGAGACGCTATTGAATCGGACCTTGTAGCTCCTGCCAAAACCAAAGAGAACCTGTGAGCTCTGGCCTGGAGCTCCCTCCTGAGGTCAACACCCTTGATGGATCTTCAAGTGACAAGTCCTGATTCTAGGGTCTTCTCTTGTATGTTGAGTCAAACCATAACACTCCCATGGTCTCTTCTATAATCTACCAACGTACCCATGTCCACCACAGTGGTAACCGTCCATCTATACTTGGTCTTACTGGTACTAAAAAGGTTTCTGGCCATGCTTAACTCAGGAAACCTGAGACCCATAAAGTTAACATGATTTAATCAGTAAGAAGTCAGGAGCAGAACTAACTACTCCCCTAAACCATGAGACCATGCTTTCTTGTTTCTCAAAAAAAAATTTTTTTTGGGACAGAGTTTCACTCTTGTTGCCTGGGCTGGAGTGCAATGGCACGGCCTCGTCTCACTGCAACCTCTGCCTCCCGGGTTCAAGCAATTCTCCTGCCTCAGCCTCCCAAGTAGCTGGGATTACAGGCATATACCACCATGCCTGGCTAATTTTGCATTTTTAGTAGAGATGGGGTTTCACCACATTGGCCAGGCTGGTCTCGAACTCCTGACCTCAGGTGATCCACCCTCCTCGGCCTCCCAACATGCTGGGATTACAGGCGTGAGCCACTGCGCCTGGCCCTTTCTCAAATTTTAATGTACACAAGAATCATCCTGGGATTTCATTAAAATGCAGATTCTGATTAAGTAGGTCTGGGACCTGGCTTGGAGTTCTGTGTTTCTAACAAGCTCCCAGGAGATGCCAGTGTCTCCGGACTTCACTTTAAGTAGCTGGAAACTAGACCATGCTGTCCAAGATGGCAGCCATTGGCTAAGTGTGGCTATCTAAAGTTAAATTAATTTGAATTAAATGCAAGTCAGTGTGGGTTGGTACACTGCAAACCTCCCTAGGTGATTCTGATGTGCATTCAGCTTTGAGAACCACTGGGTCACAGCAGGGTGTCACTTGCACCAGCCACATTTCAGGGGCTCCAGAGTCACATGTGGTTAGTGGCTGCTATAGTGGACAGCACAGATATAGAACATTTACATCTCTCTAGAAAGTTCTTCTGGACAGTGCTGGAGTATCCCATTCAATACTGTCCTTCCATAAAGTTATAGTCCTTAGACTTTTCAGGGTTCTGTCACATTTCACATTTCAAGTAAATATGAACAATGTTCAGCACTGACACCCGGCATGGAAAGAGACTGCATTTTTAAATTAAATAATTTTGAAGGTGAAGGACGATGTCATTGGGACTCAAACCTCAAGATGAGAGGCTCAGGAACCTTCAGACTAAAAAAAAATCCAATTTCTCAGTTTTCCCCTAAAAGTGGTAAGTTGTGCTCTCAGGTAAGGCAAAACAAAACAAAGCAAACAGAAACAAACAAAAAATCTGAGACCAAACAAACAAGCGACCAAAACTCCAAAACAAAACCCAAACCTCAAGAAGCAAACCCAACACACAAATCTAATTACAGAAAATTAAAAAGAAATAAGAAAATAAAAAACAAGAGAGAGGAAGAAGAAAAGAAAATAAATTGTGCATTCTGGCAGCAGGGTTTTCTAAGCTGGATGTTCTTTAAAGTTTTTGCTCCAGCATCAGGAAAGTTCTAAATATATGTAAGTGTATTTTCTGCCCTAAAATAGTCTCACATTGAGTCATGCAATATATCAGGGGGTGGCTGTGTTGTTAGTGTTGGAGGAATGGTTGATGGTTGTGGTAAAAATAACAGCACGTGCATTTGTATGAGGTTGGAGGTTTTTCCAAATGCTTTCCTTTTTGTTATTACCCTTTAACCCTGCCAATAGGCCACAGAAGTGCGTAGGGCAGAGCTAATTTCTCCCCATTTGGCAGAGGAGAAAGACCGAGGCCCACGGGGGTTAAGTGACTTGCTCAAGGTCACTTAGTGAGTTAGTGACACAGCTCAGGCTAGAACTCAGGTCTCCTTGAGACCTAGATGTGTGGCCTGGGATGCTCAGGCATTGGGCCTGCATGCATGCACTCGCACACACATGCGTGTACACACATGTGGACATGTACACACATGCATACTCTACCTGTGCTGGCTGTCACGGGCTGCAGCCAGACCGTGGACTTCTGTGTCACCATGGGGGAGGGGAGGCCCTTTACGGGGAAAGAAACGCAAGGGTTCCGGGCACCTAGAGGGGAGAATCGATGGTGCCCTATCTCTCCCTGAAGGAGGGGTGAGAGGGAACCTGCTGGGAGGCCATCCAGGATGGGGTGGGAAGGGGAGAGGTAGCGAGAGTGAGGACTACGATGCTGATCACAAAGGACTCAGCAACGGTCAGTTTCCTGGGTATCAAACTTATGTGAATATGGCAGTACGTTCTCTGCCCAAAGAAAATCAGAAGGGATTTTCTTTTTTTCTTTTCTCTTCTTTTCTTTTTTTTGAGACGGAGTCTCTGTCGCCCAACCTGGAGGGCAGTAGCGCAATCTCTGCTCACTGCAACCTCCGCCTCCCGGGTTCAAGTGATTCTCCTGCCTCAGCCTCCCAGTAGCTGGGATTACAGGCGCA